GGAGGTAGTGATTAACTGAAAATTGTTTCATGGTACTTCTTTTTCAATTTTGATATATAATTTGGTTCACATATTATATCAAAGTTAGATTTACAGCTAAATTAATATCATCGATTAGTAGTATTGATTTTATCAAGCATTTAGCCTTAATCTGCATATAATCATGTGCTGTATTGAAAAAAATTACAGCAGTATAAAATATTATATATATTATATATAGAGCTGTTGCACGGATGTAATCAACGGGGTAGGTGGAGCTTCCTGTCGGCCATCTTGAGTGGCAAGAATGTACATGCAACGAATGGAGGAATGGAAAGAAACTGCGATTTTTCATCAAAGAGATATCATACTTCGCTGCAGAATATTATAGAGACTTCTTTACTCAATATCTTCATCTCCTATCTTGCATTAACCTCGAATGTCAACTGCAGAATTTATTTAAATTTTTTTCTCCGTTCCCCCATTCATTCTTGGCCTTCTTGCCACCCAACATGGCGGACAATTTAGCTCAATTTTAGCCACACCCTCCCATTGATTACTTCCGTGCAACAGCTCTATTATATAGAGTTAATTACCTTAAGTCTACTATTATTTGCGTCTACTAATTTTAGCGAAATCAGAAAAAGTCATGTTTAGCGTTACTAATTTTAGCATTTTTAACCAAATTAACTATAAATAATAACAATTATAATGAAAAATAATAACAATTATAATGAAAAATAATAACAATTATAATGAAAAATAATTATTTTGGTGTCTATTTTATTTAGCAGTTTAAAGCTCTCTCGCTAATATAGCTAAATTTAGTAGACGCTAAAAATAGTAGGCTTAAGGTATAGTATATACATAACAGTATATACATAATTATGTGTACATTAATAAAATATCTCACCTCCACCATGAGTTATTAGCATTAAACCATCTTCATAACTAACATTAACAAAAAGATCTGATGTCACTTTGATGTAGTACGTCAAGACTTTGATGAGGCTACGTATTGTCATTTCGTCCCATCTATCAATCAGTTTAATAATGACTGGTCTTGTTTGATCGCTAGTGGTTGGTGAGGCTACTGCTGGTAATGCTAACAGTTTCTCTTTGATTGTTGATCGTATGTGCTTCAATTGTGATGATTCTAAGAGTTATCAACACTATCAATGTATTGAGTTAGTTCAGTTTGTGCATTTGAAAGATAAGTGTCTATCAAGTGTTTAAGCACACCATCACAATTAAGGAAATCATAATGAGGCTTAAGAGAATCAAATAATTCATCAACATTGCCATATTTTAAACTTGATACTTCAATGCTTAAATAAGCAGCTGCACTCCTAGCTATATTTATGAGCTCATCTTCACCTTTTTGCACAATTTTCACAATTTGACCTCTCATTTTAACATTGAGAGATACAAAACGAGAATGAAGATATTTGATAATGGTGACAATTTCACTCTTTGAACTGAGCTCAATGACAGTAGTAGGAGTAGACGATTGTGATCCAGTGATTGTTGGTTGTGGTGTGTGAGATTGTGCAGTGACATCCACTGGTTGAAGTGGCCCCTTACTGACTGATGGCTGCTGCTCTAGATTAGGATCAACATGACCACCTTTCATTTCTATAATTAATTAAGGGTAAATAAATAAATGTGATGCTGTATATCTTACTTAAATTTTTCAAAAGCTTATATGCCATGTTCTTTAGTCCTACTTTCTGTAGTGATGTAATGAGAGAAGAGAACACACTGTTAGGATTGGGATGACACTCAAGTGTTGCTAGTACTGAAGAGAATATTTTATTGGCTCTATCATAAGGAGTGAGTCCAGTACTTTCAACAGTAACATGTACTGCTTTAGGAATGAGATCAGATGAAAAGAGATGATTATTTAATTGAGAAATAACTGGAACATTTGCTGCCAACAGGTCAACAAGATCAGCTAACATCTCTTTCATTGTAATGTATTCTGGTGACATTGATCCTTCCATTGGTTTGAATGATGATTGATCTTTCTTGCCCTCCTTATCTTGCAGAGGTGTGGCTATTGATGATTGACGTTGAGGTATTGGTGGAGGTAGTGCATTTAGTGAAAGTGGTCGTGGCCTTTTTGGTGCTGATCGTAATGGGATTTGGGTTGGTGGGGTCAATGGGTGTAGTTTGAGTGCTATTGGGGAAAGAGACTTTAATGTCTCCTGTGATGAACCCATTACTTTTAATTATTAAAATTAATAATTAAAATGCTATAAATTACTGTATAGCTGGAAAATTTGGCATTATTGGCTGTTCAAAATAAAGCCACCAATATTATAACCGTCAATAATAATTGCTATGGGGATGCAGGTTCTGTCATGAGCATGTGATACCAAGTCTGAAAGAAATTTCCAAAATGGCAGTATTTCTTTCTGTTTGAGTCTCTGTTTTAGTCAAGATGGTGGGCAAGGAGCAGCTTCAAGAAGAGCTGAGAGTGGTTAAAAAAGACAAGATAGGTAGTAGCCCGCGAAATTAAGAGACCACAAATATTATATTTAGGCAATTTTGATGCAAAATTGTCAAAGTTTCAGACCACCAAATTTTCCAGCTATATGGTAGTATTTTTTGCAATGTTTATATACCTTTTATTCTTTCATCATTAGCTACTTTCATTTCATGTAGCAGAGTTGGATGTTCTTCCAATGCTCTTATAAGAAGAGATATTCCTTCACGATCACTAGCAGCATTTCTAATCTTTCTTATAGTATCAGCATCAAGCAGTCGTAGAGACTCCTCCAGTTGCCCTTTGATCAATAACTCATGAAACTTTATCAATTCAAATAATATTGCTCTTGGCATATCATCTGGTATATCCATTAATGCAATAGGAGAGTGTGGAGGAACTCCTATCAATGGCTTATTTGTACCTGTAGGAGGAGCTGGTCCTATGTTTGACAAAAAATTAAAATAAACTAGGCGAATGTAAAACATTAAGGGGCAAGCAAAACGGTTAACATTTCAATTAGCAATATACAATGTCTATATAGACAATGATGTAGTGGCTATTAAATGTTGAATGTTGATGTCAATGCACTAATGCAGAATTTGCATGGAAGGAATTTCATAGCTTCTAGCTTTGAGTGCAGTTATATAGATCTAGGATGGAAGATAGTTGGTCTCAGAAGCCAGAAAGAAGACTCTATTTGTTGTCTTTGGGTGCAAAAAGACCTATCTCTAGCATTTCTATTGGACCTCCTCGCTCTTTTCTCCTCCTCAGTCTTGCTCCTTCTCACGCTCGTTACGAAGAAGTCGACGAGCATCTTCTTGTGAATTACTCATGTCTTAAGCTTCAGCTTCTCTTGTTTTTTGAATACTCTTGAACTCCTCTTGTCCAGTGATTACTGAAGTTGCTCTTTGTTTTTGCACGTGGTACCGTAATTATCAAAATTATCATTTTAAAATGTGTAATTGTTATTTTTTTTATAAACGCATAAATAGGAGTGACGTACATGTACAAACAAACAGACAGACAGACATACTCGACTCGACTATGTGGGGCTCGCTTTTGCTCGCCCCAATTACAATTAATATTCATTATGAAAAACTGTTAACAGTTTTCATGACACATGGCACTCCTCTACACTACATATATACTAATGTTAAATTACACTCTTAGATCACAGTAATGTAATAACTCTATTACTGTTATATATTGTTAGAATTATTGCTTTAGTTGTGCGTTAGTATAATTATTGTTATCATGATTATTATTATGTATTATTGTGTAGATGATTATTGTGATTATTATTGGCCTTGCCCAGCTTTGTGTAGGTGAGGACTAGGTACTTTGGTTGTCTGTCTGTCTGTCATTCTTGGTTTTGTTTTTTTGGTATAAATTGAAAACTGTGAGCTCTAAATATGTGAGGCTTTTTTGCATTTTAGAAAAAGTCTTGCTTTCACAGTACAGCCTTGAGATGTTTAGAGA